AAAATATTTGTAGGTTCGGGGAGGATCAAAATGCAAAAAAAAAGAAAAAAAGAAGAACTAGTCACACCCTAGCCACCTCCCTCCTTTGATAAGTACAGAACAGTCCTGAATGTTACATGCCTACACTTCATGTCCCCTCTGCATAAGTTAGTGCCCCACTTAGCCCCATGCCCATTAAGTCTGGACACACCACTGTGCCCTGATCAATAATAATAATACAGAAAAACAAGACAAAGCAAAAAAAAAGGCTCTGCAGAGAAATACGAGCAAATCATTTTTGAATTCTAGAGATGAAAAGATGCGCATGGATGTAATGAGTTAAATAGGTTGAATTAAATCCTCCTTAGCAGGAGCCGCAGCTCAAAGGCTCTAACGGGTATAAGAAGGAGGATGGAAATAGTAAATAATAAATCAGTGTTGTAAACTACTTTAGGAGCTACATCATGTGAAGCTCCCGACCAGCATTCAGAGAACTGACAGAGAGCAAAGGCCAAAAGAGCCTGACAAACACTGCTTTATACTTTATTATACTTAGAGGGCAGCATAGATTAAATGAATACCACAATAATTATGGGTGTATTTTATCTTATCATTGACAATGAGCTAAATCACTCCAAATCAGCTGGTTACAGTTTAAGTCGTGTTTGGTTTCAACAGCCAAATTATATTTATGTTTAGCTAAAACTCAGTTAAAAAAATAAAAGTAAAAACTCTTGAGTACATCTGAAATTGGCGAATCTGGCTAAAATTAAAATATGCATTTATACCTAAGAACTACGAAACATGATATCTTACACAACTGTAGGAGTGTATAAATGTAAAAATTCAAAATTATAACCTAATTTGCAGCCAAACAGCATCAGATTTGTGAGGGACTGATTGTGCTGCTACATGGCGACATGCACAAGAGAATTTCCACAATAAAATGAGATTCTTCAGGAAGTAAGAAAATAAGAAAATTTAAATTTGATGATTGTGATTTTTGCAGAAAATCTAGGGTTCATTAAGTGGACAAAAAGAAGACTATTCTCAATACACAGCAGTCATCTCCAACTGAAAAATGACCAAAGCTGGATTTTCCTGGGACAGCCCAGCAGCGAAACGTAGCTTGACCTTCAGATGAGAGGATGATGATGTTTGACAGGCAGCTCTGACACGGTGTTACCCACCGGCCGCACAGCTGATACAAAGGCCGTTATCTGCACTGTAATTCAACACATTTTAATTCAACATCCACTGAATAAAATCAAACGCTGTCCCTCTCCTGATGCCCACCTTAAATCGTGCCTGCATGTGAAAATGCGTCACACATTGATCTTTTCTATGCTATCCATGAGGCTTTGGAGGCGTTGTTTTGCTTCCATCTGATTTGTGATCAGATTAGAAACTGGACTTAATCTCTGCTGCCACTGCGCCTTTTTCAATATTACTAATGTATATTGGCTGAATCCGACAGATGTCTAAACCTCGTCCACCCGACCCGCCTGATACTTTGATGCTGTTAAAGCTCTCTCTCTGGGTATTATCGAAACACTGTGGGCGGAAACACGTGGAGACAGGACGCCAAATTCGGGTCATAGACCTTTTTTTTTTTTTTTTTTTTTTTTGTTTTGGCGGGTGGGGGGGCGTGTGACCAATTTGTCGAGACCAGTACAATTCTGATTGATAAATTTGTGAAAAACAATTTCTTAAATAAAATTGTTTAGCTATTTTATTTTTATTTTTATTATTTTACGATTTAAAGTCTTTGA